TGCCACCTCACATGTTTGATTAAATAAGGATGCTTACTCAGATATGTTTTCTAAGGTAGAAATCTAATTCCACCTTCATGACTTAACCTTTTCATAGACTTGGTACCAGTTCATAACTGTGCACATAGGAATTATATTTCCAACATGAATTGGAAGGCATACCAGCATTGACACCATAACAGTAACCTAAGCATCTGAACCAAAGAAGAAACCATGCTAGTCCCAGAATGATTATATTTACTCATCCAAAAGAGAAAAATTACCTCTCTTGTCTAAAGTGCAGACAGTTTGGGGTCTTTACTATTGCAGACAATTCTAAATCTGATTGAGTGTAGAGACATTTGGAGATCTGTGGTTATCCAGACTCTATTAAGTCCATCTTAGTTCTTTTTCAGCCTCCCCTAAAATGTTCCCAACCACCAGGATAAGACTGATAAGACTGACCTGCTTCATAAGCATTGCTTGTTTCATACTGGCCTGCCCTTCCATACATTTTAAGACTACTCTTGCATCATGGACAGCCAATCAGAATCCAGTTCACCCCTCACAGTGAAAGTTTCCTTCAAGAGCAGTATTGTCTATGAATACATGCTATTGAATGACAATTCTTGGGGATTTTCCCTTTGTATGAGCTCTATAATAACTGACCATATACCATCTGTCTGTCATTTGGTTACAGTACCACTCTCTTTTCCAACCCATGGATTTTAATTAAAACAATTGTATCCCTCTACCCCCCTATAGCCAACAGCAAACTTACTAGTAGCAAGAAACATAATTTAGATATATTTATCAGATTTTTATATTATTATCAAATTTTAGAGGTAATTTCTGAGCATGAAATATCATGTTCTTTACTCTCAAAAACACTTCTGGTCTTTAATGGTTTGTTTATAATCTTTCATATATATATATGAAGACACACACACACACACACATATATATGTATATATGTTTACCTCAAAAGTAAACAAGTGTATTATAATAATCTCTGCATCCACAGCATCTGACTCATGAATGAAATTCAGAAAATGATTTCTGATAGATAGGTAAATGAATCTTAGCAGCAACCTCGAATCTATAATAACAGTAGTACTTTATGCCTAATGGCTTACTGTGGGTTGCCAAAGAGGAAAGATGCTTATCTTTGTCCCTTCACTGTAAAGAGAATAAGCTTGACAAACTGACTTATGCAATAAGATATTTCACCATCTTATAATAGGGAATTATAATGAGTTGTTTAGATATGGCTTGTCAACACATCCAAAAGAAGTCATAAGAGCTGTGTGGGTCACTCTCCACGTCTTAGATATTTATCTTCATGGCAGCTTTTAGTTGCCTAAGACTTGGATGAGCAAATCCAGCAGCCAAACAAAGAACATATTCTAAGATATCTATATCAAAAGGACAGGGAGTGTTTTGATCAGTTAAGACTGGGACAATTACCCATACTTCAACTGTTAGAGCCAATAGGTTGATGCATTTGACTGGAAGTGCCTGGGTCATATGTGTACCTCTGAAGGAAGGGGACAGAACTAGCTCAGAAAGCTTGACACAAGTCCCAGAAAAAAAAGGGTGATATTCCAGAAGAAATATATATACATATTTAAACCACAATGTACATCTATCACCATTCTATAGCTCATAACTGCTCATAGGTTCATCCTACCCAAAGTTTTTCCAAGAACTTATTCTGATTTTGTTTTATTCATATACTTGCCTCTGTTCTTATCTTCCAATTACCTAAAAGCCTTTATTCAGTGTCTCTCCTTGAATTAAATCCTCTCTGAAATGGTCCAAATTTACCAAACAGAGTAAAAGGGCATTCAGAGTTTTGAGGAACTGCTTTACTTCCTATTTCAAGCCCATAATGCAGGGTACCTAGAATAAATCCCTGGAGAAGTCACATAAAAGATTTTAAGCATGCCTTAGTGACAGGAAAAAAATTCAGGTTGACCTTATTGACTGGTCCACATCAACTTGTCAAGAAAGCACTTGGTAATTAATCAAGTGATTTATCTTTTAATTGAGATCAGGGTTGTTCTGCAACTTCAGAAGACACTAGACTACTCTAGCTAGCCATGGAAAAAAATGGGCTCATTGAACAATTTAAGAGCCATAGATCTCTGACTTCCTGGTTCACCCAATTTTCCCGTATTTGTTGGACAAGTACTCTCTAGTGAGACAGAAGTTGTCAGAGGTTGTATGTTTAGAGGTTCAAAATATGGATTCTGGATAGATGGCTAGAACCGTGCTAGTCTTTCCTTGCCCTTGCTGCCTTCTACCAAACTACACTCAAAGCCCTTTAAAATCTTAACCCTGATTTTATGCAACATTTCCAGACTCACTTTGTCCTGCATAAACACTCCCAGCAGACAGGGCCTTCGTCTGCTTTTCTCTCCAGCCCTTTTTTAGTATCTTTACCCTTCTAGAAATCTTACTAATATGGCTACAGAGCTTTGCAGTTTGCAGTCAGTTTTCCCAAATGTTATCTTGTATCACCACAGCCCTGAGAGATAAGTAGCATCACATTTGCTTTGCGTGATGAGGAAACTTGAATTCAGAGATTATGTAAGAGTTTACAGTCCCATGGCTAATAGGAGACACAGCATGTCTCAAATCCAAACCCTCTCATTAAAAAGCTCTTACTTAGAGTGCTCAGGAGATGGCTCGCTCGGTCAAGTCCCTTCTGTGTGAGCATGAGCATCTAAATTGGGTCCCCAGCCCTCAGGAAACTGCTGGGCATGGTAGGTAGTACGGGCAGAACTGTAGTGCAGGGGAGTCAGGCTGGAAGCCTGTTGGCCAGTCAGTGCAGCCAACTGGTGAACCCTGGATTCAGTAATAGACCCAGTCTCAAAGGACAAGGTGAAGAAGGAGAGAGGAAGACACTCTCGGTCAACCTCTGACCTCTACACACACACATGCAAGCTTGTGCATGTGCATCCACAGGCACAAACATGCATATACATACATACATACATACATATATATGTGTGTATATATATATATATATATATATATATATATATATAACACATACACGTGTGCACACACACACACACACACATCTTTTCTTTCCCCTTTGACACTGGCTCTAATTATAACCTGTTTGATGATCTTGACTCACCATAAGTCTGTCAACTTGAGGGTTTGAGACAGGCCTATTTGCTTCTGGGTTCTGTTTTCAGAAAGCCTGGCATAGCCCTGTGTGATATTGGTGTTTGTGTTCGTCTGCTTTTTATGACTGTCACAAAATACCTCAAAAAACACATTGGAAGAGACAAGATGGATTTTGGTTCACAGTTTCAGATGTCTTGGCCTATGCTCACATGGCCCCCATCACTAGGGAAATAGGCATTCACATCCTGTACTTCTAGTGAGCCAAGCAGTCTTGGAAATTCTGCCTCACAGATAGGATGTTTTAGTCAATTTTAGAACAGGAGACTACTCTCATTAACACTAAGAAGGAGTGCAAATGAGCAAATCTTCCCCATTCTTGTTTAGAGTTGTGCTTTTATAACGTATAAGGAAAACAAACAACTAAAAATTCACATTGATAATCTCTAGTTATGTAAATCTCAGAGTCTAAACCCAGCTCACTACTAGTCTTCCTGTAAACTGTGTAAATGGCATTGGAAATGCCACTGCCCCTTCAGCCTCCATAGTAACTTGATAGGTCCTGTGTACCCTGTGTTGGAATTCACAGACCAAGGATCGTAAAGCTGAGACTGTGATGGGTGATGACATTATTCTTGTTTCATAACCTTCAGAGGAGAAAATGTAATATGTCTGTGACCAGGTTTTTCTGAAAGATACCAGGTGTGCAATTTGCAAGCAAATGACAATCGACATGACTATCGATTGCTCTGACCAGCTAATTATGAGCTTGCAATTCCCTGGAGCCCTGAGATTTTCCCCCTAGTTCCCATACTGGACATCTCCCACCAGATCTCCTTGGTTTGCCCTCAACTCATCCCCAGAGAGAAACATCTTCTCCCACCAGCTTCCCCTGTGTCCTTCTCCAGCTTCTTGGCCTCTTAATAGCTGTCACCAGATTTCAAAGGGGCTTTCAGCTTGTTGCATAATCAGCTTTCCTCTGAGACTGCCCCCGCTCCCATCATTACCTCAGGGTGTTGGAACTTTGCTGTGAGCTGCTGACAGATCATTAAAGATCCCAGCTGTTTCTGAGCCCTAACAACCTCTTTCAACTGGTCTCCTTCCAAGAACAGCTGCAAAAGCTCTCGCAAGGAAGGGTGGAGACACAGTTTAGCATGATAACAAATCAGTAGGGAGTGGCCATTTTCCCAAGAAACGCTGTGAGACATTAGTTACTACCCAGAAACACCGCACCCCCTACCCCCTCAGCTCCCACCCCCCAGAAGAGAGGCAAATTTATGCTAACTCTGTGTGAAAACTCCTCTTAGCTGAAAGAAGGAAATGGAGAGTCCTAACCCTACCCTTGCTGCCAGAAGGGCTGGAAACGCTTCTTGCTGTCTCCATGATTCACAAAAGGAGCTGTCAGTAAATACAACAAGATTATTATCCTACACACATATTGTGTAATACACACTCGTTTGCACCAAATTAACCATGTAGAAGAAACAGTGTTAGCCAACACCTAGTCAGACTCTGGGTGTTGAGCAAAATACTCAACACATGTTTTCCTCTGTATTTTCATAGCAAGCCATGCGTGGTGGAGGGAGCCAAGGCCCCAAGAGATTGAATAATTTGTTTGATATTTCATAATTCAAAGGAAGTGGAGCTAGGATTTGAGCTAGAATCTGGTTAAAGAGTACAGTCTAATAATGTAGTCAACATGTGTGGTTTTTTTTAATGTGTTTTCATAGCAACCCATGCCCCCCCTTCAAAAGAAGTGCGGTGAATGGATTCCTTTTATTGAAGCTCTATTCATATCATTTTTTAAAAAAAATTCTTTAATTTATTTATTTTTATTTTATGTGCATTGGGTGTTTTTCCATGAGTGTTGGGTCCCCTAGAACTGGAGTTACAGACAGTTGTGAGCTGCCGTGTGGGTGCTGGGAATTGAACCCAAGTCCTCTGAAAGAGCAATCAATGCTCTTAACCACTGAGCCATCTCTCCAGCCCTATTCATATCATTTTAAAATAATAATTTTATTAATTGTTTGAGAATTTCAGAAACATATTTTTATCATATTCACCCTCTACTCCTAAATTCACCCCAGCTCCTCACCTATCCAAGTTTGCATTCACTCTTTTTTAACCCACTACATTCAATTTGCCCTGCCCAATTACTCTCAGATGTAAGCCCATTTCCTGGTGTGTCATCTTCTGGCCAGGGCCCATCCCCTTAAAGCAACCCAGCTCTCTCTATCCTGAAAGCTATCAACTGCTAATAGCTCCTCAACATTTGTACCCACTTTCCCCTTCCATGCTGAGACTTCTTTGGCTTGAGCATGCGCAGGTCACCAGTATGCTGTCACAGCTGCTGTGAGGTCATACATATGACTGCCCCATTGAGTCGGGAGAAGACAGTTTCCTTGCTTTTCGTTCTTACAGTTTTTCTTACTCCTCTTTCAGGATGGCCCCTGAGCCTTTGGGGAAGAGGTATGATACAGATGTCCCATTCGGGGCTGAGCATTCTGTAGTCTTTTATTCTCTGCTCATTGGCCAATAGAATGGATCTCTGTGTTTATTGTTATCTACTATTAGGAGAAGCTTGTCTGATGAGGGTTGAGAGATGCGCTAACCTATGGATACAGTGATAAATCAGTATGAGTTGGTTTAATATTATGTTCATTTAGCGCAATAACAGTCATAGGTTCTCCTCTAGAGTTTCTGATCTATCTAACCACAGGTTCTTTTTTATTGTTATTATTTTTATTTATTAAGAAATTTCCTACTTACTCCACATACTACCCACAGATTCCCCCCTCCTCCCTCCTCCCACCCTCAGCCCTCTCTCCCAAGCCACCCCACATCCCCACATCCCCCAAATCAAGGTCTCCCATGGGTAGTCAGCAGAGCCCAGCACACTGAGCCTAGGCAGGTCCAAGCCCCTTCCCACTGCACCAAGGTTGTGCAAGGCATCACAGCACAGGCACCAGATTCCCAGAAGCCTGCCCATGCCCCAGGGATAGATCCCGATCCCCCTGCCTGGGTGCCCCTCAAACAGTTCGAGCCAAACAACCATCTTCCATATTCAGGGGGCCTAGTCCAGTCCCATGGGGGCTCCACAGCCACTGGTCCACAGTTCATGGGGTTCCACTAGTGAAGCCACAGGTTCTTGATCTTGATAACAGTGTCAGATATGGGTTTCATCTTGTGCCTTTGCTGTGTGTCTAAATACTCACCACCACCGTCCCCACCACCCTGGACAAAGAAGTTGGTTACTTTTATAACATTAATGTCATTATTGTACCAGTAGGCAAATCTAATCAGGACAGTCATTATGGTAGTTCACAGGGTTCACAGCCGAGTAAGACTAAAAATGACTTTTCTACTCCACTTTTCTATTAAAGGTTGTAGCATTTTCCCGAACTATCAAAGTGAGCCAGTATAGATGAATCTTCCAGGTTAATTCTAGCTTGATTTCTCCATGTGCTATGACTCAAGTATGTTGTATCTTCAACAATAGGGTAACATAAAGTTCTGGACTGTGACCAAGAGTGTGATGGCAATACCCTGCAGTGTTTGGGAGAGTCTATGGGAACTCATTAGCTAACAACTCCAAAAGAGGTAACCCACTCCTGGTACTGGACTTTTTAGCTGTTAGCCAGTGGTGTATTGTAGGGGCAGTGTCTACCCATTAGAGGATAACTCCATTCAAATCCTTAACTACTGTGCTTTCTTTTCCTAAAATGTCCTTTACCTCCTAATCTTTTTATTAAGATAACGTCTAATAATTTTTCAAGAGTTACCTTTATCCTCATGTATAATAAGAAAAAATGCAAGAAATACCTCTTCCCTTGTCCAACAAAAAATCTCAATTATTTCTTGTACATTCTATATTTTATTTTATTTTATTTTATTTTATTTTATTTTTTGAGACATGTCTCTGGTTGTTCTGAAACTCACTATGTAGACCAGGTTGGCCTTGAACTAACATACATCTGCCTGCCTCTGTCTTTTGAGTGCTGGGATTAAAGACGTGTGCTACAATGCCAAGCTACTCTTCTTCTACATTCTTAAATGTCTCTATTGCTGGTTTTGTGGCATAATTTGTTATATATGAAAGCTTTTAATGTCTCTCTGCACCATGAGAGCTAAGAAAAGCATGGAGAGGAACCTGGAGAGATGGCCCAGCAGTTAAGAGCACTGGCTGTTCTTACAGAGGTCCTAAGTTCTATTCCCATCACCCACATCCATGCTCACAACTGTTTATAACTGCAGTCCTCTGAGATCCAATGCCCTCTTTTCCTATGCAGATATACATGAAGACAAAATACCCATACATAAAATAACTAAATACATAAAGTAACTAAATCTTTTTTAAAAAAGGAAGTATGTTGAACTTCTCATTTTCAAGACGTCAGAGAACATTGCCTCAATATTTCAGCCAGTTCCCAAGAGTTTTATACCACCAACTCTGCTTCATCCCCTATCTTATTTCCTCTCTTATTGCTTTTGTCTATCACTACACCACTTTGAAATGAAACTCAATACCTTCTCTGCTTTCCACAATCAATATCAGTTTTTCATGTCTGTCATAGTTTTGAGGGGAAGGCATCAAATAAAATCAAATAACACAGCACTCTGCCTTTTACCTTCTTATTTATTCCTTGCCAATTCCCCCTTCCTCTTATGAGCAATAGAATTCCCAAATTCTTCACATCTTCCATACAGAATAATGTCCTCCAGAGTTTCGGTACCAAGTACCATCAAGATCTTGTAATAAAGATACTTATGAGGGATTGGGAGTTGAATGTGAAGGGTGGGTAGCTAACATCTCTCTCAAACCATCCTATATTCAGCATGCATTTAGTTTAAATGTTCAGTGCTGTCTAATTAGGATGCAGAGATAAAAAGCATAAAGGAACATTTTCTCCATTAGAATGGCAATCTGCCTACTGGGGATTTTTGGACTATAGATCAGATAGATCGATCAAATTTTCAGCAAATAGATACCAAATGTTTAAAGGGACAACAATAATAACATCTTACAATATCTGTAATGCATGATGTAATTATAAATAAATATGTTGACTCATATAAACAAGACAAGAACAGATACATAAAAATAAAAATAATCTGGGTATTAATTTAAATAGAAAACATGAAGTTGGTGTCAGTAACTACATTAAATGTAAGTGGCTATTTAAAATCAAGTTAAAGGCTAAATATGATCAGACTTGATTGTAAAAAAAAAAAAAAAAAGCTGCATCTTTATACAAGAGATAGAACCTGTGGGGGGAAAAAGTTTTTTAAAAAGCAGTCTGCATAACCCCATTCAAAAGAAAGATGATATTGCAACATTCATACCAGTTACAGTAGACTTTTAAAATTCCTTTTTAAAATAGCATGCAAAATAATGGGTTCCCTGATGGTATTTTCATGTATTATTTTCTTCCTTTTCATCCTCTACCACTGCCCTGTCCCATCCCTCTCTCACCTTCTGCTGATGTCCTTTCTTTCCCCGAACATCCCCTTCAGCTTTCATGACAATGAAATTTAAAAACAGAAATAATAAATATCAAATAAAGGGAAAAAATTTCAAAACAGTAACAAAACTGATAAACTCAAAACTGATTGGGAAGAGGGGAGAATTACAGAATCAAGGAAAAGTCAGCTGTCATTACAGTTCTTAAGGAATTAAAGGAGCATAATGTAACACATTATTCTATGAAATGCTCTTAGCTAGAATATATCAAGACTTCCTGCAAACCAACAAGAAAAAGAAGCAAGTAGCACAATGTTTACAGAAAAAAAAAATCCTTAAAAGGTAAGTCATGTAAGAAAGATTGCAAATGTCAATAAATAAATGTGTATACTAGGCATCAAGAATATGCAATTCAAAACATAATCAGATACTACGAGATCTATAGAAGGAAACCTGAAATTAAAAGAACTAATTAATTAAACTATATTTGGATTGGGACAGAAAACAGAATTCTTGAGCACATCTGGATGGAGTAAAAACTGATACTCTTTGGAAAACTACTCATCTGTGCACATTAAAGCAAATATGCATGTTTCTGTGACCTGCTCATTCCAATCCTGCATATGAGGCCCTCCAAATGCACACTTAGGTCATTAGATACCTGTACAAGGATGTCCTTATTACAAAATAATGTGAACAAGAATTTCCATATAGGCTCTATTGCAAACGCCTGAAACTAGACATAACCATGTATCTAAGAATGTAAAAGGTGTGTCCATAACCACAACCAATAATGAGTCTTACAGAGAGTGCTGGGCCAAGAAAGACAGATCAGATTCATACTATATAAGTCCATTTTTATAAAATTTAAAGCTACAAAGTTAATCTATAGTGTCACATGTGGCATGTGTTGAATAGGAGGAGGCATAAAATGCCCTTCTAGGGTACTAAAAAAATGCATTGTTTTGATCTGAGCAATAATCTCACAAATCATCTGTATAAAAGCTTATTGTGTACTGTGTAACGAAACAGCACAAAGGAGGCCTTGGCTAGTTGGGCAAAGGTGCCCCATGAGTGAGGGAAACACACCATGCAAATGTGGTAGTGGATGGCACGGCATGGTGGAAAGTCATTCACATCCCAGGCACAGCATCCACACAGAGAGTTTATAATAAAGAGATAGAGAGAGCGGGGGAAGAAAGAGAGAGGAAGAAAGAGAGAGGGATAAAAAGATGGAAAGTGGAGGCATCTATACCTCATGGCAAGAAAGGGAGGATGGAGAAGAGGAAGATGGGAGGTTTTTTCCTTAAAAGAGAATTTATGTCCGGATGCAGGGCAGGTCCCCAAGGGGAGGGCCAGAATGCCAACATACTATACCCAGGATATGTGCACTTTACTGTTTGTGAAATACTAGTCCATTAAAAATCTACAAATACTATATATTGCTAACATTTCTTAAATAAAATTATTTAGCCATAGA